CACTCAAGCCCAGATCTTCAAAGATGTTTAGTCTCCTTCCCATTGAAATCAATGGAAGTTAGATTCCTAAAAATATCTTTACTGATTGGGTCTTCAGATTCTTTTGGTGATGAATGCCAATATAAAAACAAAAATAAACTGATAATTTGCACAAGTGGAGTGGGCTTAATAGGAAACTAATAAAAAAAGATAGTTGTGGTTTTTATTTGGTAACATGTATTTTAATTGTATGCCTTGCAGAAATGAAAGTCTTGGGTGATAAGAACCTAGCTTTTAAGTGAGTGGCTCCCTTATTGTTTATAGAATCTCTGAAAAAAGGGTCAAATATTCTTGGAATATATTTTGTATATACCAGATTTCATCCTAGCTGATCTATGAGGAAGATTTTATTTTCTTTTAATCAGTCTCTTTCCTTTTCCTTGCCAAGATACTTGGTTACCAATGAAACTTGGTTACCTCTGTTTCATTTTGAGAGCATCATCCCTTAATCAAGTCTCTGCCATAGGCAGTCCTTCATTAATCCAAGTGCATTTAATTAGCACTGCTGAGAAGAACTGAATTTTGGGGTTTTAAGACCTCATAATATTCATGACAAGACCAAACTAAAAACATTTGTTCTCTATGTGCAGCTGCTTCTTCAAAGCTTGTGACCCATGCTTATCATAATTCTGCATTTTAAAGTAATTGAAAATACTTTACAAGGATGGGAATTTGCTGTGTGCCGGAAACCAGAACAGACTTTTGCATGGCTTTGGTTATAAAAAGAATCAAATGAATGTTGGATTTCTGTGAAACTGAGCCACATTGATGGCAAACATGAATACATCCTTCAGACTGTAAGAACTACCAGCCTCTTGCCCATGTTTACTCTGTCAGAACAGTGGGAAGGAGGAGTGGAAAAAATCCCATATAATGCACACTCTATAATCAAAGCATGAAAAGTGTTGCTAATTTGGCCTGCTTTCTAAATAAATGTTACAGTGAGTATTCCAAACAGGCTGGAGCTGAGCCAAGGTTACAAAATTCAATGCTGTAGAGTTTCTGCCGGTGAAATAAGTAAAATACATGGTGAGCCTACAGGCAGTATCTTTGTGCCCTCTCAGCCAAAAAATTTCAAATGTATATGTTTGAAGTTATGCATTTAAATCTACATCTTGGGCACAGGCAAGGACTGGAGTGCTGAGCACCTTTGAAACTCCCTTTGAAGTCAGTAGAAAATTTGGCCTGATTTTGAAAGACAGCACAAAACTTTCTGCCACAGTTTTGTTCTGACAGTTACTTGCACCTATATTTTAATTCTGCCTTTTTAAATTGTGTTTAACAGCCTAAACCTCCCCCTGTGCATGGAAAATCATATTGGCTATTCACATTCAAATGCACAAATAATTTAGTAGCATTTTATCTGTTGTTCTTCCCTAGAATAGGTTAAATATAGGCACATGAGCAGCTAAAAATAAGAAGAAAAATCTCAGGATGTAGTGTACCCCTGCTGTGAAATGGGACTGTAGGTTTGTTCTTAAGTTGAATTTGTATGTAAGTCGGAACTGGTACATATTGTAGGGGAAACTCTAGCCAAACATTTCTCCAGAGCTCAGTTTTATTCTCCCATACCTCACTTCCCTCAGTCCTTTATTCTCAAGCTGAGGTGTCTGCTGAGAAAAGCTGCTCTGCGTCTTTCTGGTCTGCTGGGGGGGGCGCTAGCTTTGCGTCTCCCTGGTCTGCTGGGGGGAAGCAGCTAGTGCGGGGTTGCTTCACCCCGTTTGTAAGTAGGGATCCGATGTAAGTCGGATCCGTGTAATCTGGGGACTGCCTGTACATAGCAATGGCGAAGCTACTGCAAAAGACAATACATAGATGGTTTGGAGGGCAACCAAAGCAGTAGAAGGGGTAATCACTTGAGTTGGCAGTCTGACCTGATTGCTGGTGTTGCTCATTATTGGGGTCATGACCTGGAGAGTAAATTGTAAATTCAGTGTTGAATGAGATGAGTGGGCACCAGTGGCCACTGACAGAGCTTAATGGAGTAGGGGCAGTGAGGTAGCAATGGCATACATAATCCTTAATGAGGCCAAAGCTTTGCCTCCTGAATCTCTGCTTTTCCCTAAGGATTCACTTTTTAGCCCCCTGCCATGTTGCTTGTCTTCTGTATTTGCTACACAGTAGCATCACTACCCTTATGATCATACACACCCAACATCCTTCTCTTTATCTCCAGTTGCTTATAGCCATATTGAAGCTCATGTAGAAAAATGTATATGAGAAGAGGTAATTTTTTTGGTGTACATAGGTGTGATTTAAGAGAGGGGGATAAGAATAGATCATCTATCTCCATGTGAGGTCACAGCTCTCCCATCTCCCCTTGTCTCTCCAGCCCCAGTCTAAAGCTGTTACAAGGTGTATCTATTTGCTAAGACTTTGAAGGGCTGCTGGCTATATACATTTCTTATAGTTCTATGTAAAAGGCAGGTCGCCTGAAGTAGCTACCTCATTGTTTGATTCATGTTTTGGAAATCTAAGTACATTTTGTTGATGAACATATTGTTACCCCCCTTTTAATTCAAGCAAATGGCCGAAACTGGGGGCATAAGAAATTGTTTCCATTGAGAGGAGAAATTGATGAGTGAGATGGGTATCTCTGATGCCATTCTGATGCCAAAAATATATAGAGAAGGAAGGCTGTTTCCCTGAACACCACATGAATTAAATAGGAAGTAGCTTCTTTCCGTGTGGCTCTGAACGAGGGATGTTAAATTTAGATTAGTTGGCTAATCGAATAGTCAATGCAATTTGGACTCACCAGATGGCCCAGGCTGCTTGTGGCATTTCAAAGTGCCAGCACCACCTGTTGCCCAGGATCTGGCCCCGGGCTCCATGTGGAGCTGCCGCTTCTCGTCTTCCCCCTCTTGCTGCCTCTTTCTGATAGAGGCAACAAGTGGGGGAAGTGACTAGTCAACTAGTCGTTCACATCCCTACTCCAAACCCCTTTCAATCAGCCTTGACGCAAAAGCTTTCTTTACGATTTTCTGAGGGCTATGCTCTTAGTGCTCGTTCAGGTTCACTAGCTTTCTGCTACTTTTTTCTGGCCTGGTCTACTATTAAGTTAGTCAGCTTAGCAACAGTGCTAAGGGATGTGAAAAATCCACATCCCTCAGCACCACATCTGTGTCAGCCTAATTGATCTAAGTATCATTGATCACCGAGGTAGAGTTCCTACAGCTTTGGAAAAAAAAACTTGTTAGGAAGTATAAAAGTCTCAGAGGGGGTAGCTGTGTTAGTCTATAACTAACTTGAAAAAACAGTGAGTAGTTCTGTAGCATCTTAGAGACTAATATATAATCACTAGGGGGCTGTGCCCCCTTCTCGCTACACTTGCCAACCCCCCTCTCTCTTGGTGTAGGCAACCCCAACTTTCCCCCAGCCACTGGGGCGGGCCAGGCTGCAGCCACCCCAGCTGTGGCTGTGCCAGCCCCTAGCCCCCTCCTTGTGCCCTCGGCTGCGCCAGCTCCAGTTCTCCTTCCACCACTACCACCATCTCCCCCGGCAGCCCCAGCTCTGGCTCTCCCCTTTCCCAGCCATGCCGAGGCCTAACCCTAACCTACACACACCCAGCTAAGGCTGCAGCAGCCCTGGCTCTGCTCCTTGCAGCAAGGGAGGGCCAAGGCCATAGCACGCCAGGCCTGACTCCACCCCTGGCAGCAGGGGAAGGTCAACGCCATGGTGGACCACATGGCCTCAAGAGGGGGTTGGGCTGGCAAGTGGGTGGGAACTGGCTCTAAGGACAGGGCCTCAGGCAGAAGGGGTGGAGTTTGGGCCTGAGCTTTACCTACCCATTCCTCTCTCTCTCTCTCTCTCTCTCTCACACACATCCAGCAGCCTATAGACACTGTGATATGATGACATCACTCTGTCATCCCGCAGGAAAAAAAAATTTATATATAGAGACAGATGGGCAAAACCCACTAGAGAGATGTCCCTGCTCATCTGAGGAAGTAGGTTTTGTCCATGAAAGCTCATGATACTATATATATATAATATATTTTGTTAGTCTCGAAGGTGCTGCAGTTCTACTTGATGGTTTTTATAGGAAATATATAGACTATGGCTACACATGCACACTCTCTCTCACACACACCCCTCTACATACCCAGCCAATGTTTTTAATATATGGGGGAGGTTTACTGTGAGCACAGCTGAATAGTCAGCAGGCAGTCTAAGCAATTTTTGTGTTATATCAGATGGGGAGGAGCCAGAGGACTTTTGAGGGAAGAGACAGAGAAAGGGGGAGGAGTTGCTGATGCAGAAAGGGTGGGAAATGGGAACAGGTTGTAGACAAGCCCTGGATTGGTTGTTTTTGAGAAAATCTGCAGTTTACTAGCTCCTGCTTGGGCTAGTAAAGTACAGATGTACAGTGGGTGAAGGGGCGATGCTGGGAACAGTAGTGGGAGGGGACTAAGCTGGAAGAGGGAACACAGTGAATAGGGTCAGAGGCCCAACTTAGGGGGACTGGTGGTGACCTCTTTAAAATCACTTGCCAACAGACCTGAGTGCTATTGTCATGTTTGTTATATTGTTGTTGCTAACTTTGCTTTCTATTTTGTGTGCGTGTGTTTTGTGTGCACCCACTTCAGCACCATTTCAACTTGAACTAACAGTTGAGAAAAAAAAATCAAAAACAAACATTTAAACTTTTGCCGTGAAACCGACTTTCAGATCACAACAAAATGAGTTAGAAGAAGAATTGTTTGACTTCAGCTAGATTTCTGCTTTATCACTGATAACTGTGGTACCAGTAGACATGGGCCTGAAGAACATAATAATAAAGAATAGAATGTCAGGTTCACAGCTTGAATTTCATGAGTTTGGACTTGGCAGGTGAGATCCTGACCCTCCTGAAGTCAGTGTCAAAAACTCATTGACTTCAGTAGGGGCAGGATTTTACCCAGATATTTTAAAAAGTTAATGGCTTCATAAAAAAATTTCTTTTTTATATTGTGTTGCAGTGGATTTCCAAAGAAAACAGGTAGAACTGCTAGGATAGCATCTGATGAAGAGATTCAAGGGACAAAAGATGCTGTCATACAAGATCTGGAAAGAAAACTTCGTTTCAAAGAAGAACTTTTGAACAATGGCCAGCCGGTATTGAAACATAACATTTAATGGGGGATTGGCCATCGTTTCTCAGATAATTTTTTACTTGTATTATATTAGTGCCCAGTGAATCCATCAGGATTAAGGCCCATTGCGCTAGGCACAGTCCCTGTCTCAGAAAGCTTACAGTCTAATTTTAAGACCAGACAAAACAAGTGGCTGTAAGAAACAATTGGAATAAAGCTTATAGGAAGCATGTAATTGCACACAGGGGCTCAGCCCCTCCCACACACAGTAGGTATCCCCGGGTTAGTGCTCCAACCTTGCAGGTCCCACCCCCGGTTGGGAGAACAGCAGTGCATGGACATGCTTCCTGGCTTTCCCCACTGCTCCCATTACCTGGAATCCGGTATGGGAGGCCATACTTGGGGCACAGTGCCTGGGAATGGTGGGGAGTGCAAAGCTTGGTAAGCGCCACTCCCATTCCCCTCATTCTCATACTCAGCACCCCCATCCTTGCACACACTCTCTTTCCCCTGCTGAGACCCCACACCCTTGGCCTGCTCCTGCACCCTTCCTTGTTGCTGCATCCTTCCTCTTGGCCAGACACTCTATCCCCTAGACTGCTCCTGCACCCTCCCTTGCTCTTGCACCCTCCCTATTCTCCCCGGCCAGACACCCTGCATCCTGACTTGCTCCTGCACCCTTCCTCCTGGCCAGACTCTGCCCCCTCCCTTGTTGCTGCACTCTCCCTCTCTTCCTCCACCCCCAGCCCACTCCTGTACCCTCCCTCCTGGACAGAGCCCCACTCCAGCACTCTACCTCCCACGTGGACCCCCCCCCCACCTTCACCCTTCTTGCACCCCCATCCCTGTCCCGCTCCCTGGCAGCCTTCTCCTGCACACTGAACTCCTAATTTTTGGTCACGTACAGAGCATGGGGGGCTCACAAAATCTACTAAACCCATCCCTGAACCTTGGTCCTTCCTGCCCCCTCTTACCATCCCAGTGGGACTGGAGCACCAGAGGAATGAGGTGTCTCAGTTGGGGGCCACATCAGTGAGGGGTGGAGTTTTATTAGTTTGGGGGGGAGGGTTGCCTCTCACTTTTATGTGGCCTCCCAAATGATTTTTTTTGTGGGGCAGTGGCCTCGACCCCAAAAAGTTTCCCCGCTCCTGCAAATAAAAACAATGTTGAAACCTTTTGTTTGGGACAGAAACTAATATTTTATTTTATTTAAAATGAAGTTTGGCTAAACTAACATGATAAAGTTAAAATGCTTAATCTCTTTAGTTATTTTGATTTTCCTTAATATTACATAACATAATATTTCCTTCCTTCCTAGTTGTATATGCCCTTATGTTATAGCTGTGTATTTAAGTTTTTATGCTCCAGTAGCCTAATATGAATAATTTAGCATTTAATGTATTTAGAGATAAGCAAAGGAATTTTGTCATTATAGGTGGCTGTCTGGTGGTCCACAGAAAGGTTTGCATTAAGCTGGGTGGGCCACGGGCCAAAAAGTTTGAGAACCACTGTCCTATGGGAACATTAATTGCTCTTTAAATTACTGCTGTATGTTGGGTTTTTTTAAGTGAAAAATAACTTTCCTTCACTTCCCATTCCTCTTCTCCACCTTCCTTTCCTCCCATCCCTGTTTTGTTTTTTGGTTCAGAGGTTAACATATGAGGAGAAGATGGCACGTCGACTACTGGGTGCTGACAATGCTGCAACCGTCTTTAATATACAGGAACCAGATGAAGAGCTCACTACACAGGTGCTACATAACTCTTCACATGCTCAGTAAAATAATCATTTCCTTTCCATTGTTTCTTTCAGACAACATTTGTACTAGAAAGCGCCATATGGTATGATAGATGCACACAAGACAGGGTGGATTTGACTAAAGATGTTGTGAGTTATATGTGAAAGCAATCAAATGGAGAATATCATGGTTATTGCTTAGTTTTTCCCACACTGAATAAGATGAAAAGGTTCTCAAATATCTGCTTCCCACTTTGAGCTTCGTTTCTTTTTATCCTTTCCTATCCTGATCCTTCAGTTTCTCAGGGCAAAAATACATGCTCTGTTACCTTGAGACTAACTTGTCTTTTATCCATGTTATTTGAATGGTGTATGCAAACCAACAACAGAACTGTAGCAGCAAGTCTTTTTAAAAAGCCAAGTAAACCATTTTTCATTTTTGCTCTGATGCCAGTGTTGCTGTTCAACCATTCATTTGCTTATGTTACCACAGGCATTACTTTCTTCTGAAAGAACTCCCAAAAATTGTAGTGTGGGATTCCTCTTGATCTTCTTACTGCTAGCCTTCATTTTTTTTCTGCCTTTACAGGAAGCTTGCTCTCTTGATGCTTCTATAATGAGTCCCGTGGATAATCAAAAGGTTTTCAACTTCTTTCTTTCTTTTTATTTTTGTCTATTGACTTTTTTGTCTCCTGTACCTTTCACCTTTACCCCTCTTGTTTAATAACAATGCAGTGATCAAACATTAACTTATTTCTGGGTGCACTCTCACTCATGGCGTTTGATTTAATATTTAGTAAGCAACCGTAGACAGATTAACTTTAACAACACTACTATTATCTCTCTCTCTAAATATTTTCCCTAGTAATTCTGAGATCCACTGATAGTGGAAGCATTGCATCCTACATTGTTTCATCTAAGTAACGTAGAATATATACAAGTTGAGTAGAGATAATTGGATAAAATATCATGGAGAAATTTATAAAGAGGCAAAAATGTTGATTATATCAAAAATCCAACTTTTCTCTCTTTTTTTTTTCTTGTGAAAAGTGATAGTTATTTTCTGTAAACACATCAGAGGGTAGAGATGAGGGGCTTACTGTTGCCCCCAGATCAAACAAATTTGTAGAGAAAGAGTCTGTGAAAGAAGATTTAACGTGAGATACCAATATGAATAAGAAAAATGGTTAGAAATAATGTAAAAACTATAAAAGGGTGTTTTAGTTTCTATAGCCTAAGAAAAGCAATGATCAATAAAGCTTACCTCAAATATATCTAGATGAAGAGTATCTTATGGGTACAAATCAGTAGTACATTTAAATAAATAGTTTATTTCACACTAAAAATTCCCTGTTCTGCTCTTGTTTGTTATGTAGATAGGTAGAGTGTATGTGGATGGGTGGATAGATAGATTGCTTTTGTGTCACTGTTTTTTCAAGAAGGGCACCTAGTGGCAGCAGTTGAGTAGAGGTACTGATAGGTGAGACAAATGTGGCTGTTGTTGTTATATGCTTGTATGTAGCTGTCTCACTGCTCAGGGAGAATGTACACAAAAGAATGGTATTTTTATTGTACTACTTGCAGTACAGTTCTGCACAAACTCCAGCTGTGAACCATATGGTCTCCTGGCCATCTAGAGACAAATCCCACCCTAAATCTGCTTACACTCTCCAGGAAAAATCTTTTTTCTTTATGAACTGCTTAAGAATACATGATTTTATGCTTTGCGTGTTTAAAAAAAGAGAGAAGAAAAGCAACCAATGGCTTTTTTTCTTTCTTATAAATTAGACCCTAGGACGACATGAAACACAATATATGCCTACTAGCAGATGTTTTCATTGTTTTATATGGAACTCATTTTGGGCACAACTTGTTTTCTTCTGCATGGTACAATTTTCTTCTTTATGGAATCCATTGCCAAAGACCTAGGGGAAAAATTCATTAGAATCACATCATACTATATAGTAAATGACAACAGACACTAACATGAATCTTCCTTGTCTGGTAGGAATATAAAGTCTCCAGTTTTGAGCAGAGATTGATCAGTGAGATTGAGTACCGCCTGGAGAGATCCCCTGTGGAGGAATCTGATGACGAGGTGCAGCATGGAGATGAGCCCATTGATAACAGTGTGGCACCATATTTTGAGATGAAGCTGAAACATTACAAAATCTTTGAAGGAATGCCAGTCACATTTACATGCAGAGTGGCTGGAAATCCAAACCCAAAGGTGAGAGAGAGGTGGAAATTGCTTTAGACATGCAGAAATGTCTGAATTACTGTAGTGGTAATCTTCAATAATAAGAGGATTGTGTATTATAAGAATAACAAGTTTCCTGTCTTGGTGGTCCTCAGTTTGGCATCTTCTTCTCAGCATATGCACAACATGCTGCAGGTGCCATGTGATGTTCATCACTGAATTTGGTCCTCTTGTTGGATCACTAGCTTGCCTGACCTAGGCCACCACATACTGATGGGATTGTAAGGTGAACACCAATCCATGTCCTCCAGTCAAGTGGCAGAAATTGTCATAGCTCTGTTGAAGTCCCTGAAGCCATGGTGATTTGTACAAATTGAGGGTCTGCTGAGCATTTTGGGGTTTATCTCTCTAGGACAGTTCTCCATCTCCCAGTCACCTTGGGGGGGTGTGTGTGTGTGTGTGTGTGTGTGTGTGTGTGTGTTTTAAAAGGGAGTAAAATTTTCCCAAGTAGTGAAGTCTGATTTTCAAAACTGATGTAGGAACTTAATTGACATTGAAAGGTAGTGGTGCTTACTTCACTTTTGAAAATGGCATTTACATTCCTAAGTTACTTTCAAAAATTATCCCATATGTTTCTGTGCATTGTAATGAAGCTTGTTGTGCTGCTGTAATTTTGAGTTTTTAATGGTAGAAGCTTGTTCATCTCAAAATCTTTGTGAAGGTCACCATGCCTTCCAGTGAAGCGTTGTCAAAGAAAACTGTTGTTGAATGAGCAAAGAGTTCTTAAAGATGTTTACTTTACTCTGCAGTTTACCTGCCAAGCATTATTGTTTTCTTTTAGATTTTTAAAATTCAAAAAACCCAACAATATAACAACTCCTAGTGAGGTTTCCTTTGAGAATGTGTTAAGTCTCAATTGACACTAGGTTTAGTAGGCCGAGCTTAGTAATTTTAATGATTATCCAGTCAACTACTGAACTATTTAGGTAACTGGAAAACAAAAGTAGCACTGTTTCCTTGTTGGTTTCATTCATAAAGCAAGTAACTTCATAATTTTCCTATTGGGTAGAGTAAGATGGGAGGAAAGCAGTAATATATGGCAGGTTGTCACAGTGCCCTCTTGTGGATAGATACTGTTTTTCATTTTTATTCCACTAAAGCCCAACCCTTTACAGGCAGTGAAGACCACATTGGTTAAGTTTCCAGAAATTCAAAGGCTCTATGTAATTTACATAATAAATGTACTTAGATTTTCAGTTTGAGGAAAATACACGTTTAATATTGTTTTTCCTAGAGTGTTTGTTAGCATGCAGTGTAACACAACGTGATAGAAAAACCAAATGTGTTTGGAGCATTGTCAGGGAAAGACTGTAGTTTGAAAAAGTGGTACAGCTTCTCTGAAAACAACTTCTTGATATTCATTTTTATTTCTGAGTTTTATGTTTGAACAGTTTGACTCTGTCATACAGTGTTATGGTGACTTTGATCCCTGCAGAGTCCAAATAGAAGAAATCTCTGTTCACAAACAGTGATTCCAAAGAGACCTTTATAAATAGCAACCCTCTTTCAATCTTCAAAAGCTTTCTTGCCTTGTTGCTCATGAAATCCTCTAATCTGTTCATTTTGTCTAGAAGGAGCCTACTTCCTACTTTTTCACCTAGTCTCACTAGTAGTCTGCTTCTTTAGAAAGAGATTGAAACGAATGGCTGCAGATTGTGTATCACAGACCCAATCCCTTTCCATCTCTAACAATTTATGTAATCCAAAAGAACAAATCCCAGTGGTGATTAAGTGCAGTCCACAAGGGATTTCCATGTTATGGTTAACTATAGTCATCGTCATTGTTGTCATGACAAATCTCAAAGGTACATGGTCTCTTAACAGTTACCAGAGAATAGTGACATAATTAAATTAACATAATTAGGCTTCAGACTTAAGACCCCAATGAAAAATTAGTGGAAGGTTATCCCATAGCCTTTTCAGTTTTCGTACTAGTTTCTTTTCTTGTACTTAGTTTCATCTTTGTCTCACATTTGGACCTTTGGCGGCTGTGAGCAATGCTTAGAATTGGCCTTCTGCAGCCTAATTTTTCTTTTTTCAGTATTTATGTGTGCACAGAATGAAAAACACTGTGGTACAAACAAATGCACACAGGAAAGAGGAAGTTTTTAATTAACCATGTGGTATTTAAAAAAAACCAATTTGCTAAACTAAAAAGTACAAAATTCAATTTAGTATGGGCTAGTTTATTAAGGAGCTAGGACTAACTTCAGGCCTAACCCAGTTCTTTATGCCTTTCTTGGGTGCTGATTAAGATAGGAAGATGGATCAAGACAGAAGTGTTTCCAGCTACATTTGCTCATATAGTTTGGTGTATGGTGTGATGGAGAAGTGTGCATTTTGCTGAAGGCTTATGAATCATAGTTTGGATATACCATAATGAACTATGGTAATGTTCTGTATTTGGAGAGCATTCAATTGACTGTTCCTGAAAACACTGTATTCTAAATTAGTACATTATTTGATATATGCGCTGAGTGAGATATTCTGCTCAATTTTTCCATTATATTAAAATACATAAATTGAAAGTGGTCTGTCCTCACTGTTGGGGCTATGATCTTTTATTCAGTTTGCTTAGAGATGCAAGCCTTTTAGCAGGGTTCAAAAAAGAGCTAATAGCTATTGAGGCTAGGTCCATCAATGGCTATTAGCCAGGATGGCTTGGGATGGGTAACAAGGGAGAGATCACTTGATTATCTGTTCTGTTCATTCCCTCTGGGGCACCTGGCATTGGCCACTGTCAGAAGACAGAACGTGGAGCTAGATGAACCTTTGGTCTGACCCATTATTGATAGACAGTGTTACATTCTTATGCTTTGTCTGTGATTTGTTCAGTTGCTGGGGTAGAATCAGGTTCGGTGCTGTTGGGTACCTTCTTGTCAATTGAACTTCCTTGGGATTACTGGGAGATGTTTTTCCTACTCTGCTTAAGTGTGCTAAAATGGCAATTTTGAAATGTTTGATGGCAAAGAAGAGCCCCTATATTGCCATTTCCTGATGCTGAACATGTTGACACTGGATAAATTCATTGATTTGGCAAATGAAAGCCTGGAAGCTATTTACTCACTCAACCTGAATCACCTTTTTTCCAAATAGTCTGCTTAGCTATATAAAGAATAAATTTGGGCAGAACTGCAATGCGTCTAAACTCTGGCATTCATTACAAGGCATCTTTGTAGGTAGCATATTAGCTTGATTTTCCTGAACATGCCATGTAAGTTGAATACAGATGTACAAAGTCTGTCTTTAGATATGTTTCTAAAATCTGAAATTCCTTTGGTTATAACTCTGATAGTTGTTTTCTGGTAAGAATCAATGTGTGTGAGAGAAGAAATATGCTTTTTGAGGGATATTATGATTTTATAATCTTTATTATTATGATAATTCCATACAGAGAGAAATTTACCTAAGAACAGGGGCTAAGTGAAACTTGAGTGGTGCATAGTCCTTATACTGACCTTAGTTTTTGAAAATCTGTTAAGAATATATAATATCCAAATGTAATGTCAATCACTGCATGGGATAATAATACCTTTTATTACAAGGTACAAGCCCTACCAAATTCTCATTCCATTTTAGTCAATTTCACAGTAATGAGATTTAAAAAATCTTAAACTTCATGATTTCAGCTATTTAAGTCTGCAGTGTCATGGTATTGTAATTTTATGGGTTCTGATGCAAACTGCTTTGTGGGCACATCATAGTACTGCTACCCTTATTTCTGTGCTGTTTCTGGCTGCAGTACTCCCTTCAGAGCTGGATAGCTGGCAGAGGCAGCCCCATTCTGAAGGCAGAACCACCACCAGCAGCAGGGTGGAAATGCAGATGGCATGAAGTACTACTGCAACCTTTACTTCTGCACTGCTGTCTGCAGAGCTGGGCCCTCAATCAGCAATCACCAATCTCTGGCCATCCAGTTCTGAAGGCAGTAGTGCAGATATAAAAGTGGCACGGTATGGTATTCACACCTTTACTTCTGTGCTGCTGCTGGCGGTCTGCTGCCTTCAGAGCTGAATGCCTAGCTAACAACCGCTGTGCTCTTCAGCGCTGAAGGCAGCACAAGATGTAAGGGTGGCAATACCACAACCCCCCTAAAATAACCTTATGACCCCTCCCCCCATTCCTCCTGCAACTCCCTTTTAGTTGATAAATGCAGGTCTCCCTTGTGAGCATTTTTTAGGGTAAAAGCACACCAAAGACCAGATTTCATGGTGGGAAGCCAGATTTCAGTCAGTTTCATTCGGTAGGCCCCTAATCATAGGAGGAAAACATTTCCCCATATGGGTGGTTCTTGTTTCCCGTAGAAATAGTGATAGTATCATTATTTAACAACCCACAACAGATAAGGTTTACGTTATAAATTCACTCAGAATAAATAAAAAAGCCATAGAAGGGAACATTTTAACTAATTGAAGGAAATGAGTATGAAACAATCGGTGTATCAAGTTGGGACAACAGGTCCAGTTAATATGTGCCTCTGCATAATAATTCTTGGCATGTCTCCTGATTCTCTGATGACAGAAGTGTGTTACAAAAATAATTACTACTTAATGCAAGCCCAACTAATGTCAAGTAACATTATGAAACATGTGAAGCATGCAAGTTAAAACTCATTTTTGCAGCTCTGTCCTTGTTCAGAACTATTAGCAGGTTTTTAAATGATCATATATCTTTTGTCTCCAGTAAAAGCGCTGTCAGCAAATGAGAAAACATTACCAAATCTGTTGTTAACATCTCAGATTTTCTGCAAGCCTGCTGACAGACAAAATGGGAAACTAGTATAACCAAATATTAAGGAAATGAAATCATTTATAGTGATATGTAATATCTGTCAATATAAGAACCAGACATGGTAACTATTTTTAAAGGGAAATTTCCACTCAGTTTTTGCAAAACATTCTCCTAGTCCATTGTATTTCAGTGAAATTGAAGTGTCCTTAAATTACTCCCCAGAATAAATTAATTCATAGTTTTGAGAAATTGGCAAGTATGGAAAAACCTGTAAGATTGTAATCAGACGAGAGTCTTGTTCTGCTTTGTCACTTGGCTGTTGCTGGAAAGCTTCCAAACACATTTTCTCACTAAATAACTGAGTTCTTACTACAGAAATAACACTCTGGACAATCTTTCTCGCCTTATGCTAACAATGCCATTGTTTTCATAGCAGTGGGAAGAAAAACATCATGTATATGCATTGTACTGCAAAATATCTGTATTCATTTATTGTTCTAACACATCAATTCATATATGTTAGTGGATATAGCCATCTCCTGGGGAATGACAACACTGTGAAGGCATATATGTTCTAAGTGGAAAAGTTCCTGAATGGAAATATGGGCTGTATGGCAGGGCCTAGCGAGAAACAATGAGAGAAATAAGTTCACCGAAGGCTCAGGTTTGAACACAAGTCACCGTCTCCAAATATAGTTTTGTTGCAGAGTGATGGTTTAACCCAGATTAACACCAATTTGATAAATCTGTAGCTGCATTGCAACCATGCACTTACATAAGCAACAATCTCAAAAGAAGCCATAGAGGGTAGCTCTTCTACTCTCCCTGGAGTCTCCTGTCCTGGCTTTTGGTCAGCATAGCCACCTTCTTCCCTCTTTAAGGTATGTGCACAGGCTAACCTGTTGCTGATTAGCTTCTAGCCACTAGTGCTACCCTCAGCTCGTTTTGATCCTCAGCTGGGAATTAACGCCAAAGCCCTTTAGCAGGTTTGGTGGAGCTGTCTCCCAGGAACATTAGTGGGACTGGCTATGGCATGACTTCGAGGCTCCCTCCAGGAGATGTCAAAATATCCTATACTCTGTGCACTCACTGTTGCAGCCTGTCAGGCAAAGAAGAAAAATGGAAAAAGTCAAAGCAGAAAAGATGGTTGGTTCTTTGCCCTCCACTCTTTTCTACAGACATTAAGGTAAAAGAGAACAGAGGGGGAACTTCATCTGCCATACGAAGGGAGGAGCAGTGAGGGCTTCCAAGCCATGAGAGGAGGCCCCTGAGGCCCCTGGCTTTTCCCATGAGTCAGCGGAGCACCTAATGGCAGAATTAATGCCCCAGAGACAAGCCTTCTGTTCATCTCCTCTCCAAAGGAAGGTATTTCTCCAGGCCAGCTCCAGAGGAAGGCTATCACCCCACCCTCTTCTCCTGAGGAAGGAGAGGGAAGGAAATATAAATAAATCAGAGATAAAATCTCTTCTATATCATATATTTCAGGGTAGAACTCCAGGCACACTTTTTTAAATCAGTACATATTCTCCATCCCAGCAGACACTGGAGTAAACAGCCTCAGGGATATAGCATATCCCAGCATACATTTACTTGGCTTGTTGCTGGCTCCTTTGGGGGATAAGAACCTGTCAGATGAGTATCTTCTCTTGGACCCATTCTCTTCTTTTTGCTGCCATTTATCACCGCAAAATGATGCAGCACCATGTTTTACTGTGGAGACCTGTAATGGCAGGTATCAAAATTAATGAGCTTCCCCTTCTATCCTGATCTACTTTATCCGCTGCTCCTCTGTGTGATTCTAAAATTCCTTTACTTACCTGTACATCTTTTTTATGATGGAGGTTTGTGTAATGGAGCTTCTCATTTCCTTAGATTTATTTGCACAGACCTCTAACTGTAAGTCTACTAATTGCAACTTATGCAAATAGACACCAGCTTTCTTACGGCATCTCTTGCTTTTACCAGTAGCTCCTGGTATGTTATATGGGTTACTGAAATTTATAAGTGGCATTTTGTAATAAAACTGTACAGATGCAAGGGCCTACAATTTCAGAAATCAATGTCTGAATTTCAGTTTGTATGCCAATATTTAGGCACCTGAGAAAATTGGTCTTTTTCTGTAATGTTGAGCATGCATTGATTCAAAAATAGTTCCTTGAATAGTCAGCATTTTTAAAAAAAAGAGGCCATGTATTTAGAAACCTAAATATGGGCTTAGGAATCTAACTTTAGGCATCTAAGTTAAAATGTTTGAAAGTACCAAAGACCCGGAATCTCAAAGGCTTTTAGTCAATCTATTAATGAGAGTTAAGTGCCTAAACACCTTTGAGAGTATAGGCTTAAGTGACTAATGCAGTTTTGAAAGTTTTATACTTTTAAACTTTGATCACAATTTCTAGATATCCTTTTTGCTTATGCTGTAGGCTTTTATAAACTGACTTTCTGGAAAATATACAAAAATGAACATTAATTTTTTTCTGGTTACATATGTCTTGAATTCTTGTCCTATATTTAAGATATGTCCATTAGGGATTGATGCAGTGAAGGTTGATTTAGCAGGTCTAGTGAAGACCTGCTAAATCTATCGGAGAGTGCTGTCTGGTTGATTTTGGTATTCCACCAGAATGAGAGAAGTAAGGAAAGTTAGCATGAGAGCATCTCCTGTTGACATGGTGCAGTGTAGACACTGCAGTAAATTGACCTAAGCTACATAGACTGTAGCTATGCAATTCATATAACTGGAATAGTGTAACTTAGGTCAACTTACCACAGTGGTTTAGACAAGACATTAGTGCTCTACCAAATTCACAATTTATTTTAGTCAAATGCATGGCAAAAGGATTTTAAAAATTGTAATGTTGATTTCAGCTATTTAAATCTGAAATGTCTCAGTATTGTAACTGTGGGGATCCTGACCCAAAAAGTAGTTGTGGGGGGAGTGACCACAAAGTTATTATAGAGGAGTTTGTGGTACTACTATCTTTACTTCTGCACTGCTGCTGGCGGTGGCAACTGCTGATTGGGAGTTCAGCAACTAAGCAAGTCAAAGTTAAATTTTTAATTCTCAAGCTAATACAGAAGACCTGATTGTAGTATAGTATAGTTAGAGGCCTACCAAAATCATGGCAAGGAAAAATATGGTACAGATTGTGAAATTTGATCTTTGGTATGCTTTTATACTGTATTATACAGATTTCATGGGCAAAACAAGAGATTTTGGTGTGTCCCTACCTATACTATCCTACAACCAGGTCTTACATATTAGCTTGAGAATGAAAAATATAACTATTTAAAGCCCTTTATAGTGGTCCTCTATTATTCAACAGAGAAGGTACGATTCTGTAGAGTTTTAAACCATTATATAGTTGTGATGTAGTTGTCTAAAGTTCTGTACTTTTTAATTTAAAATGTTGACATTTCCTATGACATTTTTAGAGTATTTCTATAGAAGCCTATTAAATTTTGATAACATCCTAATATTGTTTAAATATTATTGTAAGTCCTACATTTACATTATAGTGGAATGTGTCATCTTTTCCAGGAATAATTAAGCATGTTATTCAAAACTTACAATTTAAGGGGAAAAGTTATGTTGGCTATTAAGCTCTCACTTCCCAGTTCGAGTACCATGTGCCTTCATGGTTATTTGACCAGACTAGTCAGTGTTAAGAGTATGATGAGCTTCAAGGGCAACTCAGGCCAGTGAGAGATTGTATCATCACTTGCTCCGAAACTCGAGATGCCTTTCAGTGCTTTGCTGCTGTATCTTCCAGTTCAGGACTTTCACAATGAGCCTACAAGCATGCAGATCATACTCTGAAATATCTGTGTGCCCTGATTCCAAGAGCCTGTTTACCACCCCATTCTGGCTTCCACCCATCTTGGTTCATACTTGAAGAGTGATCCCAACACACGCTCAGTTAAAAGAGTCTCAAAAAATTGTGCACGCTGCAATGTCCAGCCCTTTTCTAGACAGTCAGATAAATTATGTCTATTTGTTCCTCTAACAACTCACAAGCACATCATAGCCTAAGCACATAACTTAACTGGGGTAATTACACACTGCTGCCTTTAAACATAGCATGGAGCTGGTTTACAGTAAAAATAAAACACATTTATTTAACAATAGGCTATAGGTTATATGATGCCAATTAAAGGAATAATGTTAGGAAAGGATTATAAGCAAATAATACAGTAATATTGTATACTATCTAGTTGATTCAACTGCTTGTCACTTGTGGTTCAGACACCTACCCTCTCCCCTTTCTTGATAGACCAGTACACTTTTGAAAAGGATTTTTCTGAGGATTATCCCTCAGAGTAAAATTAAATCAAGCTGTGAAGAAGATAACATGGAGTCTAGTGATGAAGGAAGCTCCATCCTCTTTCTTTACCCTTCTGTCTTGATAGTCGTGTTTACTGCTTGTATGTAAATATGGATCTTCATTGTCCTTCCATGAAGATTGGGCTAGTTAAAGAATCAAATTTATATTTCCTTGTGTAAGGCAGACCTATTTATCAGCTCCCTGGACATAACTGATTTACACACACATTAATTCATAATTCTAGCATGTTTCCATAACTTGTAAAGCTCACCACGTACATGCATCATGCAAGCACATTAATGATCAGAGAGTTATTGGCTTTCAAATTATACCTTACATGGCATATTCTGTACAAAGATTATTACAGAAGTGTGTGGAGTGTGACTATGAGTGTTGATGGTCACAAATGGGCATCAAGTAAAAGTTTCACTATAATTATCATTTGTTGTTTTACTAAAATTATCTGAATAATCACTGCTATAAACATCATGATAAAGAAAATAAAATGAACTTATTTGATCTGGAACAATTGAGTACTTACAAAAATGTCACTTGCTTTTTAGAACCCAAATAGCATACTCATAATTATCATGCTTTTCTCTCTAAATGTTTGTGCTTTCCTTTCTGAAGACTAGAATTCTGTAAAAGAAACATTTGTGACATCCAGTTCATGGACTGAAGACCCAACCCAATTCTGGATTGCTTTTAGGATAGGAAGTGGTTTTCTTTCTCTCCAGGATAGCAAGGTTTTCAACAGTTGAGAGTTGCTGACATTGTTGAATGAGAAATGATGATACCCACCCACTTCTTATCATCCATCTTTTGTTTTCTGTCACAGATTTATTGGTTCAAAGATGGGAAGCAAATCTCTAAAAGAAGTGATCACTATAGAATTCAAAGAGAATCTGATGGGACCTGCTCTCTCCACACTGTAGCCTCCACCCTGGATGACGATGGGAATTATACCATCATGGCTGCCAACCCCCAGGTAAATGGAAGTTTAGCAGCAGAAAAAGCATGCTTTGGATATAAGCCTTGGTAAACTCTCTCATTTGACAGTTGTGCAATTTAATTAGAGATTAAGTCATCTTAAAATATGCAATACTTAGACTTCATCAGTAGGGTGGGACCACTGTCTCTGTAAGCTCATGAAAAAATGCTATGGAATGGTTTTTTGTTTGTTTGTTTTGTTTTAAACTGTCATTTCTTTGCCTTCAGCTGCTAATGTTTAAAGGTCTTGACAGAGCATGCTTTAAATAGCTATTTTGCCAGGTAAAATAGGCAATGTTCCCAGCAGATGTAATGCAACACAACGAAGCTGTTGGTTACAGTTCTGCTGATGGTGCTTAGATGGTTAGTTCCACTGAAACCAATGGGACTGTGGGATCAGCTGTGCTTCTCCCTTTGAGTAAGTCTTTTAGATTTAGAACCTAAAACTGCATTAAAATAATAAGGCTGAAATTAAATCTAACAAAAGCAAAGGATCAGAATATGTAGTGTGTGTAATGTGGCAGCCTGATATGTAGAAAACATCCCATGATTGTCACTGTATGTTATTCTGAATTCATAACATGATATCGCTTTGTAATCCGAGTGTTTCTTCACATATGCAGTAAGTGCACTACAGCTCTGGTGCATGACAGAAACATATTATCACATATATTGGGGGGAAAAAACACAGTGGAAATAATGCCTGAAGTCACAAGCTAAGAACACTGGAAGTAATGTTTTTCAAACCCCTTTTCCGTTTAGCAAGCTAAAGGCAACACTTCCTGAATTCAAGCCACGAGAAACCAAAGCATTAACATACTTTAGAGAAATAATGAATAATTGTATTCTGCAGCAACCAAAGACCTTGCCAAGATCAGACACACAAATGGTTTACATTGTAAAATAACTCTATCATTAAAACACAACTGAATCTAAACAGGAGTGTTGTGCTCTGTTATGTATGTTGCTAGGCTACTTAGCATGACACTTCCATTTTTGCATAGCTGTTTAGCTGTCAATACTTCCTAAAGTTGCAACATATTTATAAATCATAGTTTTAGGCTGCAATACCACAAACTGTATTGGATAAATCTCTTAAATGTAAATGTTATTTCTATATTATATAAATAGCAATTGTTCCACAAGTCCCTGGATAAATCTTTACAAGCTAGAAACGTCCTTCATAAAGAAAATGTAAATAATGCAAATTCATATAAGACGTGTAGAATAAAAACAAAAACACACCACTGCACTAAGGTAGAAACTTGGGATGTAAAAGTGTAGTCGATGAACTGATAAGCAAAAGCTTATCAGTTAATGCTATAGACTACATGCATTCTCCTCCCTCCCCCACTTGCAAGTAAATTTTTTTAGCAGGCTGGCCAGCAGCCCAGGTCAACCTGATTTGTGACGGGTCTGGGACCTACTCCCGCTGCGGCTCTACATTTAAAGTGTATTAGGAGCTGGGCAGGCAGGCAGCCCAGCTTAGTTCCGGCTCACCGACCGAGTCCAGGAGCTCAGACCACCCTCTAGACAGAGGCAGCAGTGCAGGGCAACAGGCAGCTGATCCACAAGGGGAGCTGGTTTTTAAACTCGCTCCCCTTGCAGACCAGGTCCCCACCTGGCACCTTGTGCTGCTGTCTCTGATACAGTGCCAGCAGAGTGGAGTAGTAGGGGTCTTCTCGTGAGTGAGGCCAGAGCACACTGGCTGCCAGGCACGCCCCTCAGGGACTACAGAATAGTCAACTAACCAATAAGAATTCATGGGTTTGTGAAGAACAAGTCGTGCCAAACTAATCTGATAGCTTTCTTTCATAGGATAACGAGCCTTGTGGATAAGGGAGAAGCGGTGGATGTCATATACCTAGACTTTAGTAAGGCATTTGATACAGTCTCTCATGATATTCTTATTGATAAACTAGGCAAATATAACTTAGATAGGGCCACGATAAGGTGGGTGCATAATTGGCTGGATAACCGTAGTCAGAGAGTTGTTGTTAACGGTTCTAAATCCTGCTGGAAAGGGATAACAAGTGGAGTTCCTCAAGGGTCTGTTTTGGGACCCGTACTATTCAATATCTTCATCAATGATGTAGATATTGGGATAGAGAGTACGCTTATTAAGTTTGCAGATGATACCAAACTGGGTGGGGTTGCAACTTCTTTGGAGGATAGGGACATAATTCAAAATGACCTTAGCAAGTTAGAGAAATGGTCAGAGGTAAACAGGATGAGGTTTAATAAAGAGAAATGCAAAGTGCTCCACTTAGAAAGGAACAATCAGTTCCATACATACAAGACGGGAAGCGACTGTCTAGGAAGGAGCATGGCGGAAAGGGATCTAGGGGTCATAGTGGACCACAAGTTGAATATGAGTCAACAGTGTGATGCTGTTGCAAAAAAAGCAAATATGATTCTAGGTTGTATCAACAGGTGTGTTGTAAGCAAAACTCGTGAAGTCATTCTGCCGCTCTACTCTGCACTAGTTAGGCCTCAGCTGGAGTACTGTGTCCAGTTCTGGGCACCACATTTCAAGAAAGATGTGGAGAAATTGGAAAGGGTACAGAGAAGAGCAACAAGAATGATTAAAGGTTTAGAGAACATGACCTATGAAGCCAGGCTTCATGAACTGGGCTTGTTTAGTTTGGAAAAAAGAAGATTAAGGGGGGACATGATAGCGGTTTTCAAATATCTAAAAGGGTGTCACAAGGAGGAAGGAGAAAATTTGTTCCTCTTGGTTTCTGAGGACAGGACAAGGAGTAATGGGCTTAAAGTGCAGCAGGGGAGGTTTAGATTGGACATTAGGAAAAAATTCCTAACTGTCAGGGTGGTCAAATATTGGAATAAATTGCCAAAGGAGGTGGTGGAATCTCCCTCTCTGGAGATATTTAAGAACAGGTTAGATAGACATCTGCCAGGGATGGTGTAGACGGAACTTGGTCCTGCCTTGAGGGCGGGGGGTTGGACTTGATGACCTCTCGAGGTCCCTTCCAGTCCTATGATTCTATGAGGTTACTCAATTATTCAATTAACCGATATTTAACATCTCTAGTGGAAACTTCATTTTAAGAATTCTTAGTTTCAGGATTTGAGACCTGATCCAGAACCAAAGCAACTCAATTGAAAAACTCCCATTAAATTGGAGGGGAGGGGGGGTTGGATCAGTCCCTAGATTAAATTTACAAATTCATTTAGTATCTACTTTATTTCTCTGAGTATCACAAGAGGCTACTGACCAGTTTGATGAGAGGGATGTGACCCAGACGATCTTTTTCAATACAGTAAAAAGTTTATTTTCCGTTTTGGAGTTGGAAAAACAGCTATGTGATCTAAGAAGAAAATCTTGTGCTTGTGTTTGCTTCACTTTGAACAAGAACCAGAAGCATCCTCTTCTGGATCCCCTGGATCCAAACTTGGAAGTTTGTTGTTATGCAATACAGAAAAACATTTGAATGGTTCACTCGGCCCTTTATGTTCACTCTTTACAGTATAATTTCTAAGTCAATAATTATCTCTTAACATTAACTTATTCTTACTGTGCATTTAGCAGTTCAGTGAAAGCAAAGAGCAGCAGTGGATTAATACACTAGCCATTCACACCAAAAGAGTAGGATTCCATGCTGATTAAATATTCATTTATGGAAATGAGTCTGGCTCATCCTAGATGCTAAAGAAAATTTGTCCACATCTCAAAGCTACTAAAAATATAAGCAAAATTAGCAATTTATCTCAAGGAAAAAGCACTGTACATGAATATGTATTAGAGCATTGTACAGAGGAGGTCTCAAGTCAGCATTCTAGATTGGCAGAATTGTGTTAGTGCTACTGCACTTTGCTGGGCTCTTACCAGTGCTATTAGCCCGTCATTTTGTGAGCATCAAACTAATCTAAAAGCCGAAGGCAGTGAAGCAAATGCTCATCTGATGTAGATATAATTCATTGATCTAAAGCAACTATGCCAGCCGAGGATCTGGACTAATAGTGTGAAATGTACATATATATGGGGGGGGGGGGGAGAAGGAAATATACAATTCATGCACATGCATAATGTAATACTGTGTAAGCAAAAACACTATACAACTTGAAATCTGTGATTTACAATCTGGGAACAAACTGAACATCTTAATCAAAGGGCAATCCATCTGCTTCTTCCTTTTTCTGTCTCTCTCACCTTCACTCTTTTGTAATATGGCATAGCAATTACGTACCCGCTCACTTTCTGAATGGCCATTCCCAATCCTTCCTCTGCTGTTAAACATCTTCTCTCCACTTTCTAGGCCATTATGTTTTAGATTATGCCTCACTCTGTTTCTTCTTCCCTATTCCATAAGAGATCCAGTTCCCTAAATCTCCTGTTCCCTTCCAGAATCTTTACAGTCCTTTACATTTCCCTTTCTGGATGGTGTCTTGCATCCACATCCCAATAAATGTAGCTAAAAATGAGTTAATTCATTACCCACAAGCAAAATGTTAATATATAGGGGGCTTAAAATAGAGATGTACTGGTTCCAGATGTTTTTTATAGTCTTATAACTCAAAGTTTTCACATAAATAGTTTGCAGGCAATGTTCTATAACTTATTGTAACACTGGCATTTGTCTGGTGGACTTATGTGGGTCAGGGGATTGGGGATTCAGAGACTTTCTCCTCTAACTCCAATTCTAACCTCTGTAGTAACAAAAATTAATTACCCTTTGAGTGCTATTTAGTGACTGATACAAAATTTTGTTAGGAATGTCCACCTAGTTCACATACTAAAAATTACTGCATTGTGGTTGGCACTGTTTATTACCAGACATAAGTGTGGAACCCAAAGTTCAGGTACATCTGAACATAAGAACGGCCATACTGGGTCAGACCAAAGGTCTATCTAGCCCAGTATCTTGTCGTACAATAGTGGCCAATGCTAGATGCCTCAGAGGGACTGAACAGAATAGGTAATCATCAAGTGATCACTCTCCTGTCATCCATTTCCCGTCCCTGACAAACAGAAGCTATGGACATCATTCCTATCCATTCTGTCTAATAAGTATCCATGGACATAACCTCTATGAATTTATCTAGTTCTTTTTTGAACCCTGTTAAAGTGCTGGTCTTCACAACATCCTCTGGCAAGGAGTTCTACAGGTTGACTGTGTGCTGCGTGAAGAAAAACTTCCTTTTGTTTGTTTTAAACCTGCTAACTATTAATTTCATTTGGCGACCTCTAGTTCTTATATTATGAGAACAAGTAAAAACTTTTCCTTATTCATTTTCTCCATACTTGTCGTGATTTTATAGACCTCTGTCATACCCCCCTTCATCTCCTCTTTTCCAAGCTGAAAAGTCCCAGTCTTTTTAATCTCTCTTTGTACGGCACCCATTCCAAACCCCTAACCATTTTTGTTGCACTTTTCTGAACCTTTTTCCAAAGCCAATATATCTTTTTTGAGATGATGCGACCACATCTGTACAAGGTATTCAAGCTGATGCAGAGATGCTTGGCACTACTGTTGTTCGTGTGGTAGTTATTCAACAGATAAAAGTAACTTCACTCTTTAGGGACCCTAATCCAGGGTTTTTCAGGGGCATTATATGTATGTAATGCATGTTTCTGACATAAATATGATCCAGAAATAGTGCTGAAATGCATAACATCTGTTTTATGAAGTTAACGTATATTAAAAGCATTTACCTCAGTTTCAGATACATGATGCTTAAAAAAATAGTCTGAAATAGAAATTAGCTGACCTTAATACATACTCTGCTCTCATTTCTTGAGCAAATGCAATCTATGAAAGTGAAATTAACTACAAAACAATTATGTTGTGATTACAACACAAAGCACTAACCACTGATAAAACAAATTCTCCATCCTTACCATCTTCCTAGGTGTCTTTTTTTTTTCCCCCCTCAAACCAAAATGTACAAAGGATGTTAGTTGCTCGGTATATTATGTATTGTACATGCTCTGGTTACCTTTGAGCAGGTAGAAAATTGTTATTCAACATTTTTCTTTAACAAAAAAAGACTTTTTAAAATAAATTATTCCCCTTTTCAAAAATACTTTCAGAATGTCTGTGTCAACAAATCAGGTTTAAATGAACATTTTCAATTAGTTTTTATTTGAATC